ACAAGCATTCCCCCCTCAATCTTTATTGATTTTCCTTGAGTTTCTTGTACCAAAACATTGCATTTAATAAACCACTGACTTTACACAGTAATTAGTCGACTCACTAATTGCAGCTAATGTGCATGTGCTTGGAGTACCAAAAGGACCAAAGGACTTTTACCGAAGTTTTTGTTGGTGTCATCGTTAGTTGTTCTTGTTTGTTGCTTTATTATTGGCACTGCCAATTAAGTGAAATTTATGTGCTTCAATAAATTATGAGTGCCGCAGCTGACATATGCGACACACAGTTCGAAAAAGAAAAGGAGGAACAGTAGAAGGTGGGGGCGTGGCCGAAACAGCAGAAGCCAAAAACATTGACGCAAAACTTTTTGGCCAAAAAGGAAGGACAGCGGAAATGTGGTTCTGTTGGTGAGCGCGACACATGTCGCTAAGGTAAAATAGTTATTAGTAAATATATTCAGCACTTTATTTGCATACCCCGCACCGCACAGGACACCCCTGCAGGACATCAAGGGTATATATCACACATACGCCGGGTTGTCCGCCAAAACAAGCTCGTCCGTCAGAGGGTAACTAATGAAACAATTGACGTGCTGGGAGGGTCCTAAAAGCCGGCTGATACCCGAACCGAACAGTAGTTGACTGCAATAATTATTCAAGCGCCAAGAACAACAGGCAGCAGCAGTAGCAGCAGGAGCAGGAGCAGGAGCCGCAGGAGCGACAGCAGGATCAACGTCACGGCAGGTGCAGGAGCAACATTGACAGGAGCAGCACAGGGAGCAGCAATTGCTGCTGGATAGATGGCTATTATGCGCCCAACTTAACCTGTTTTAGTAATTAATTTGGGTATTGTATGTTTTAATTAGTTTAGAAGGCAACAGCACACACACGGGAGACTGATGACAGCAAATTGAGCTTGTATTTTTTGGCAATTGAGAAAGCTATTGACCTTTGAAGTCAGATCAAAGTAAAATTTACTTCAATAATATTCATGTTTTAAAGTAAAAACCTCTACTTAATTGCTTTCATGACTTTAACTTTGACAATAAACCCATGTCTAATGATATCGCTGTGGTGCATTTTGCACACGATTCCGCACACACCCCCGACATTAACTGATGTATTTTCTAGCTAATTACTACCGACTCCTGGCGGACTATATGTTGTAGCCTTCGAGGGCGGCGTCTAAAACATATTTCATCGTCCAGCTAAATACACTTTTAATTATGATTTTGCGTTAATAATTATGACCTAAGCTAACGGCGGCTACAAAACGAGTTGCAAGTGCCTGTCGTGCCTCATGCTGTTGTTGCAGCTCGTAATGGCCTACGATACCCAGTGGACTGGTCGAAGGGCTTAAATTAATAATTACGCGAAAGGCAAACGGCGACTTGCCGGCGACTCCTCGTCCTCATCCTCGTCCTCGTCCTCGTCCTCGCCGTTTGCATGCAAGTGAAAATAATTAATGCACTTAATGTGTAATTATTTCAATTAAATGATATCCCCGCTTGCTCTCGCCACTATCGACCAGATCCTGTTTCTGCTTAATTGGGTGGGACCGGGCTGAATTAAGGTCGGCCTAATTGGCATTTCGTTTGGCGATCATTGATAGTCTCTAAAATGAGAAGAAGGATCAATTTGCGAATCAAGAAACCAGTTTCACACGAACTTGCTCTTGACTTGGCTTTTGTTTGCATTAAGGGGAAAATCGTTAATGATTTAAATAATCGTTTTATAATTGGTTCTTTATGCTATCGATCAAGTATTATCAATGATATGTATAACTTAGGAATAAATATAATAAGTGATTCATTTATATTCTTTCTATACTCTTTAAAGTAACTACATAATTAAGGTTGAATTTAATACTCCATTGAAATATCACTTATTTCAGTATTTTAGAAGGACTCTCTTACTAAAGTGTAAAATGCTCATAAATATTTATAAACGTATCATGTACAAGTGTACGAATATAACATGTTTCTAATATTCATATCTATATCGAAAATCTTTAAAATTATTGCCATCACAAAACTTGATTTGCCTTAATTATGCTAATGCCGTCGCAAGTGTCTTGGCCGGATTAATTCGCTAAATCTCAGCGGGTGAATTTATGGCATCGTCCAATTGGCTTATGGTCTAATTGAACCAAGCACTTAACTTAGTCGGGGTGTTAACAAACTGATTACTGGCGTTTTCTCAATCACCGCATTGGTATGACTTATGCACTCCACCTGCAACATTGGCAGCATAATTTACAGCATGCCATGTCATTTCCCCTTCCTTTTTGGCTTTCTTAATTCGGTTTACATATATAAAACATACATACTTGTATATATATTTTTTTAAGTCCGCAATTATATTGCGATTAGAAAGTTTTTGGTCCGCTCGCCGGCTTATTGATATACCACGGACTGGCTAATGTTTCTGCTCATATTTCTGCAAATCCAGCCGGAGTTAGCATGCAGCCTAATGGCACATTTATTTATTACGGCCATTTGTGCGAATTACGCTCGCGTGCTCCGCGGCTCTTACTTCCTCTCCGATGTCCTCTCTTTCTCTCGTCGAAGTCTTTTGGCCCGAACCGGCGCCCAGAAGTTCTCAGTTAGCGACCAGAACCGGGATGCCCACACACACTCCCCAGGTCTGGGCCAAAAGGAAAACTCTGGCTGAGAGCGGCAAACTTTTGGTCACATTCCAGAGAAAATACTTTCGGGTGTCGGTGAGAAAAAGAGAAATTGAGCTTAGGCCAAGGCAAGGAAAAGTCAATGGATATAGATGGAAATCACACAAGTAGGCTGCCAAGTTGACCAAAGCTTTTAAGGCTAATAAAAAAATTTTTTTAAAAGAGTACATATTTAATATTAAAAATAGAAGAATATTATTGAAAATGTAGGAGCACATTTAGAACACAATTTAATTTATTTCACTTAATTTATACTTCCCTTTAGAATTACACAGTTTATTATTCTCGTGATAATATCAACTTATTTTTTAATACAAACAATATCAGAAATGATAATTAACTTTGAAGGCATTCATAAATATGCCATTGTTCAAACCTTTTTATAGCCTCGAAGGGTATTATAATTTTAGTCAGAAGCTTAGTGCTGGTAGTTATAAGGATTTAAACTTTGATTTGTCAAAAGAAATTTTCATTTAAAAAATCGATAAATATTAATTTAAAAAATAAGATCAGTTAAAACTTTATTATAATCGATTTCCGGTACGATCCTACAATTTAGCATCTGCGAACTTTGGCTTCCAGAACTAGTATCCATTCTTGTTTTAATCTTATATCTTTTCTTCTTTGAATTTGTTCCTTAATTTCATTAAAAATCCTTAAATAGAAAAGACTTAAATCTCATATAATTTATATGCATAATTAGTAAGTGCAGCTCACATGCCAGTCATAATCTCGGAGAGAAATCACATTTTCCTCACTCCTATTCGGTTGGCCAGTGTACACAATTTGATTATGCCATGTCCAGCAGCTATTTTAGATTTGATTTTCCTGCACGTTTTTCAGTATTTTCCCGAGCTTGATGTTTTTGTGCCCCCCTCCGCCTCTGCCTGCTTTTGCTTCCCTCTACTGCTGCCCGTTGAGTATTTTTCATATTTTAATTTAAATTAGAGGGCAACACCCACTAAGCCACTCAGTGGATGACGATGGCCATGATGGCTGCTGCTGCTGCTGCTGCAGACAGTGGAAAAGCTGTTCGTAACTCAGTCAGACACTCTCCGCTCCAAGCTTAACGCGCTGATGTATGCTAATGAGCCGGCATTGTCGCCGGTTCCGTCTCCTCATCCTCCAGCTGGAGCTCCTCATCCTGCTAACTCGATTGCCAGAGGAGTTCCCAGCCGGAGCGCTTCCATAAATATGCATAATGCAATTAACAGCCAAATGTAATTGCAAGCCAGAACAAGGAGTAAAAAATATATAAAAAAGGGGAAAAAGTAAAGTAAAGAGAGAGTGGCATTAGCAGCTGACAAACCACCCGCATGGCAGTCACTGTCCTGTCCCGTCCTGTCCCGTCACATCACATCACATCACATCACTTCACATCAGTTGAGTCCGCTCGACGATACATGACAGTCGCTCTCCTTCGCTTTTGCATATGCCCGACTTTCCCGGCCAACCTGTTCCCTCGCACATTTTAATTAGGCTATTAAACAATTGCAGAACGCATGTTGCCGGTGTCTGTCGTCTCCAACCAGTTTCCCAGTCGGTCGGTCGGCCTGTCCTCGCAGTTCCGCCTCAAAACGATCTGCTCCAAGTCGAATCGAATCGAATCGAATAGCTTCGAATCTGTTCGGGCGAATCTGTGCCAAATTTCGCATAAGAGTCGGGCTGCCAACAATTTAAAGCCGAAACGCAAAACCGACAAAACTGAATAACCGTTGCGTGCCTAGGCCCAGTCAGTGTCTATGGAGTTTGGCTTTGTCTCTGGGGTTGCACTGCAAAAAGGTCTAAGGTATTAGAAGATGAACTTTACCACAAGAAAACCTATTAATACATTTAAATATATACAAAAAAAATACTCACTTAGTAGAAGATTTATAATATACTTTATTTATATTTCCAACAATATAAACATCACATATTTTATAGACCAAAGTCTATGAGTATTTTTCCCCTGTGTATATTTGCCTTTTTCGCCATCTATCTACGGGGGCCTGGCCAACTTCAACTTGGCCAAAAAGAAAACTTCACTTGAGCTGGCCCGGCTGGCTGATTGGGCGCGCGTTGTTTTGCATTTCCAGGCCAGAAACTGCGGCTGGGTCTGCGTAATAAAATGCATTTTAATTTGGCTAAATGTTCAATTAAATTTAAACATGCGCAGTCCGCTGTTTGCAATTTTGTGTTGCCTGTCGCTGCCGTTGCTTCGGAGTTTGCCATTTTCCGCACAAGTTGCAGTTGCAGGCAAGGACTCTCCATCGGGGCTTTTTCTTTACCGAGTTTTCCAACAGCAGGCCTGGCACTCAACTATATATATGTGTATATTTTTTAACTTTTCCGGACGAAACACAAGCACAAATTATGTTGATCAATTTTAAAAATTCAAATTTTTAATCTACCAATATTTTGGCAAATGTTTTGGTCTATCCTTGCGAAGGCCTTTACCTCGCGGCAGAGCATCTCAAAAAGTGGCAGTCAGCCGTCAGGAAAGCCTCCGGGAAAGCCACAAGATAAGCCGCCGGGAAAGCCACCAGGACCACCGACCGGCAAGGATCAGTGCAAGACGCGAACGGAATGTCAGCCGGCCCAGTTCTGTGCAGAGACGGACAGGTTCCACTCCATGTGGGAGCCACCCAAGAACCTTCCGCCACCATATCCCTTCGTAGTCCGACGTTCAAATGAGCTCTGTTGCGAACCCAACTGCACCAAGCCCTTGCCCTCGTTCGACGAGCTGTATTATCATCCATCCTGCAAGAAGGGTCCCTTTCAGCGCACCTGGGTGGAGTGTCCCGAGTTTATGGTTCGCAAGAAGGTAATCTGCCGCTTCGATAAGCTGGAGGCCCTTGAGCCGTCACGCCGCTTGGCCAAGAAGCGGGAGCGAGTCACTCAACCACCAAAGGATATGGCCACCGGCCCGTGTCCGCACCTGGCTCCTTTGGCCCGCTGCATTCCGGGCCGTCGTCCGCCAAGATGTCGCAAGGACAAGACGCCTGCCTGTTGCCGCAAACTATGTGCCCCAGTGCCCTGCTGGTCGGAATGCAAACAGCCACCGCTGGCAAGGCTACGCCCGAGATCCAGCGAGTGCGAATGCAAGCGTCCCATTACTCCCTGCGAGGTGGAGCGGGGCCGCCAATATATGAAGATCCATGGGCCAAACTATGTATGCCCCAAAGATGTCCGGAAGGCCATGAAGGAGAGTCTAAAGATGAAGGTTAACAAGAAGTTTAAGAAAAACAAGAAAAAGAAAAACAAGGTTAAGATAGGCAAGGATAAGAAAAAATAAATTTACATTTTTGACTAGAAAGTCTTTTGAGAAAAAGAATATAGATGGAAAACCCTTAGTTCCTTTTTGAAACAAAGAAAAAACAAACGTAAATCTTAATATTATTTTATGAATTTTTACTAATTTGTCAAAACTAATCCACACCATGACTCTCCTCGTCGTCGGCCATCATCAGAGTGGCTTGGTATTTGGTTTTACCAGACTCCAGATCGTGTAGGGCTTGCTTCAAGACCAAGTGCATTAGGTAACGTGACTCGGCCTCCGAAAGTTGGGTAGAAAATTTGAAGCCCTCTGTTATTGGAGAGTTTTCATTGCGTCCTGCAACAGTTAGCTCTTCCTGGATAGGCACTTCCCCTTCATTGGCTTGGGAGTAATGGCTCTGACTGGTCTTAGGAGCTGGTACTTCGATGGTCCTGAAGGGTTTATACGTATGTATGGTTTCCTGCGGCTGAGGGTCATGCCTGACAACTCGATTGGGATAGAGATTCGGGTTCGGATTGGGAGTGGGAGTGGGAGTGCTCTTGGCTGGTGCTGCAGGTGTGCTCTTTGGCGAGTCATCAGCGGCCGTTACCTCGTCGAGTGCCTCGGGCTCTTGTTCATAGCTCAGCAGCTCTTCCTTGGGTACTTCTTCAACTTCAGTGGTCATCACAGGGCTTTCAGATTCCATCTGAGCCTCTATTGTTACATCTTCCTTTTCTTCCACATCATAGACATCAGCATTCGCTTGGTTGGGGTTCAATTTGGGATTTGTGTATACCCAAGAAGCCATCTGAGGTTCCGAGTAAGCTCTTCCCATGACGCAATCCTCCTCGACCATTGAATCAGCGGCGGAATATGCGGTGGCGTTGCATTGCTCGGGGTACAGGGCCTTCAACATGAATGAAATCTGACTCAGCTCCTCCATCATAAAGTCCACATTCTCCTTCACAGAAGCCAGAGAGTTTCGTTCGTCCGTGGTAAAGGATTCGGAGGAGCTGAGCTCTCGGTTCAGTTGCTCTCGCAAGGCGAGCATTCTACCAAACTGCAATTCCTCCTGGAACTTCTGATGCTCCTCCTCTTCAGTGGTCTCTTCTTCATACTCGGAATACGAGTACGGATCGTCGGCCTCATTGGGACTCGGTAGACCTGCCAGCTGCTCTACGTCCAGTTCATTGTTCTTAAAGTTCCATGTGGCGGTGAATCCATCATCGGTCATCTCGTTATCCTCGCTGCTATAAACTTCCGGCCAGACATAGTGGTAATTTGGCTGTGCCAAAGGCTTCTTCATTTCGACCCGCTTGAGCTTACTCTGCACCAGGTCAGAGGACGAATCAGTGTCATCGGACAGACAGCGAAACTTATGTCGACAACCCAGGTATAGGTGGCCTCTACGGAGGAAACCGCATGGAAGACCTCTCACGACCGACAGACGAGACATACTGGAATTTTGAACAAGTCCTAGAGGTAGAGCTTTTTTACGAATGTTCAGTCAGCTCTGAGGTAAGCCAGATAGGTGAGTGAGGTAGTTGCTTTCAAGCTACACTGACACCAAAAGCCGGCTGACTGAGAGCCTGCTGTGATCGAAAAACTACCAACCACCAGAAATCACATAGCTAAGGGATATGGTTTTCTGGTGAAAGGGGTTTCCCTGTGTAAATCTCTGCTGCAGTTTGAAATTTGCTGCAGCAGAGATTCAAACAGGGATCACAACAGGTGGCGACAACTACGTGTCCTTCTTATCCTTCTCGTCCTTTCCGCGATCACAGGGAAAGATGCTAATGTTGTGCTTGGCCATATGCCTGGCCCACCGTAGTTGGACGCAAATAGGATTAAACTCCAGGCATCTGCACTCTGGGGGACGGCCGGGTATCACGGCCGGATCCTGCTGGATGCACTCGGAGTAGCTGGGGAACGGGCACTTGGTCTTTTCGCAATCGGAGGGAGTTGGGAATATTTTGCAACTCGGCGGACTGCGAGATACCCGACAGTATGGCATCCTTAGCTGAGGACAGCTCTTGTCAAGGCGATCCATGCGCTTCTTCTCATGTCCCGCGGTGCAGGCAATCTTTGCTTGGGGTTTCTCCTGGGTCTGGGCTTTCGTTTGCATCCGACGTTCGGTGTGCGGCGGTACGGCATCGCACCAACAGCAGACCCTTTTGGGCACCATACGTGGCGTGCATTCCCACCAGGTGCGCTGATAGGTGCGATTTTTATTCCCCGGCTTATAGTAGAGCACATCGAAGCGAAAGGCTTCACACTGCGGGCAGCAGATCTCCTTGGGAAAGTCCCACTCCACCACTGGTTTTACATACTGCTTGCCCTTATATGTGTCCCACGTGTCCTTGAAAGCAGGCGGCGGCTTCTTGGAGTCCTTAGCATGACCAGACTCCAGATTGCGTTTGTTCGCACAGGCTGAAAACTGAGGTGGGCTGTCATCGACCTCACTGCAGTCGGACTCACCGCTCTCCGGGCACGTTTCTTGTCTGCCCTTCTTCTGGGCTAGCAATGCGGAGCCGTAAAAGGTCCGAACAGGAGTGCCAAGATTTCGAAGGTTGGATAACCGCATCAAATCCTTGACCACACGGATGAGCATGGCTTGTGGATTTAATTTTGACTTCCGGATCGGGTGGGGAAACAAAACGTAATCCTACAAATTGCCGAAAATAAATTGGGTGTCAGCGAACATTTTTTTGGGTGACTTTGATGTCTGTAAAAAGTAAACAATCTTCTCAACACGAAACACGTTTATTCTGTAACAGATTGTGGGCCATCTCCGATGCCTGTTACCAATCTCAGTCGCAACTCGACTCTACACACTTGGCGTGATGCAGTAGTGTCTTAGCTGTGAATGGGCTTGGCAACAGGATCGTGGGATGGACCTTGTGTGTCCGGCTAACAGCAGTCCCTGTACACTTTATTGGCATGGAAGGCAAGGGAATCTTGGCCAAAGGGCTTCAAAGGTATGCTCTGACCCTGGAAAATACTGGCGAACGGTGCTGAGAAGCGCGATGAGCCCAGTTGCTTCCAATCCTGCGATCCCTTCGATTTACTGGGTGAGACTTCAATGTTTCTCGTATAGTTAAACTGTGGTGCTTGCGTCTTGGCTCTCAGGAGTGGCTGCTCAGCCATATTAACCTGCTGGAACTTTTGACTAATGTTGGAGAAGCTGGCCAATGGCTGCCACTTGGCAGCGGGTTTTCCCAATGACTGCACCTGTCCGCCACTCGCCAAGGGTTTGAGATAGGCCACCGTGGCTTCACTACGCGGCAAGGGATTCACACTCCGAAGGGGACACTGAGAGTGGGACAGGAACTGGGACTGCGACTGCGACTTGGACTCATTCCGCACCAGTGTGGGCTGGGCTGGACCGCGTGAGTAGCGGACCAGGATCTTGGTGAGGCGCTCTGCGCACATTGTGGCCAAAATTGAGGTTGACATCCTCGATCGTTTTGCGGTTCCCGGTGTCTTCTACTGCTCTCTAATTTGCGTCTATGGGTTTGGACTACAATAAGTCTGGCCTTTGAAATGTCTGAATTGAAATGTACGTTCGATTTGGAGTTCCTTTTAATTTAAAATGTGTCGTCACACCAATATCATGGCCTGATAAACTTAAAAAGCAAGGCTTTCTGAATTCACTTCTTTTGTGACTACAACAATAGATCAATTTTGATAAGTGCATCTACTTAGGACTTTATTGTTTTTATTTACACATTTTTTAAAAATATTTATTTGGACGGCTTAGAATTTGGTAGACAGCCTCATCTGTGAAAGCAAAACAATGACGGCAAGTCTTGGGTATCCTGCATTCATTGCTCCGCTTCAACAGTTGGGCTGAAGGTCAATGTTTTTCCTATGGATTTCCACCTGCATGGCCACACATCTGGGCACAGTTTCATGACATCTGCACTCGGACCTTGGGAGAGGTGGGTTGCCCCTGTGTCGTTCCGAATACGAAGGATGCGGGGCACGTAGCCTCGTGCAGATGGTTTTCACTCTGGGTATCTTGCAGCAGGGCTTGCAGCGCGCGGGCCTGCAGCAGGGCCAAAAGTGCTTCCGACACTTCTTTTCGGGATCCTGAACGTACTCATTTTCGGAGCAGAGCGCCAAGAGCTTCTTGTAATCCATGCCACAGATTTCTGGGCAACGCTCTTTGATACGATAGTTCACCTCGGGCGGATCGATGCCATCCAGACAGCACACCTTCCGCAGACGCTGCCTAACCGGCGGACACTCCACCCAGGTGCGCTGGAATCGCCTGTTATCATACTGGGGATGATAATACAATTCGTCGAGTCGTGGCAGTAGATCCTTGCACTTCCTCAGGTCGGTAATCGTGTTCGATGCCTCCCACATCGAACGGAATGGTTCCCGCGGCGGTTTGGGTGGCTTAGATCGTTCTGGAACCGCACAGGGATCCGTCGTTCGCATCTTACAGCACTTCACCTGCTCTTGCTGCGCCGGCACATCCTTTTCTACCGCACAAGGGATAACCATGGGCTCCGTGGGGCATGGCATTTGCGGAAATTTGGTAATTTTAAAGGAGTATCTTCTGCAGCCCCCGCGGTAGATAAAACGAAGTGCCGACTTCATCCTTAAAATTTTGAGAGTGCGAAGCGAATGTTTTATAAAAGTGACTGAGTAAGCCACTGGTTACTGTGTTAACTCTAGATTCCAGAAAAATCTGTTCAGAATGGGAATTGCAATCTTGGCTTGTAAGCGATGAGGGGTTTGGTGCAGGTCTTGTGCGCCATTTTATGCCTATGGTATTTGGCAAATCCATCGCATTTGGTGGGCAGCGTTAGGCAGGCACATTCGGCTGGACAATAGGAGGGAACCAGGTGCCGGCAGACCTCCGAGAAGCTGGGCATCGGAGCTGGCGTCTTGATGCAATCGGTGACCTCACGTATTCGATGGCAGTCGGGCGGGCGACGACCCTGTTTGCAGCCTTTTGCCAACATGAAGGATTTGCAAAACAATTCCATTTGAAAGTTGTGCTTTTCAATGTTCGTTAGCGCCTTCTGTAAAGGTGGGCGGGGACGGCGCTCCACTGGCGGAAAGCGCTCCGGATCGGGACAACAGGTGTCCCTCGGTCGCAGCCAAATCAGCGGGCATTCGGGCCACGTGCGTTGAAATTTGCGGGATTTATCCGAGGGTTTGTACATGTCTTTGTCATGCCGGACTAGCTTCTGATAGCATTCGTGATCGGGTTTATCCACCCGTTCGTAGATCTCCTGCAGATGCATGGGGTACTTGTCGCGGGTGAAGGAAGGAAACTCAAACGCACTCATTGGCTTTGGTGAGCAGCTATCCTTGCCCACTGCACACTTGGCGACCTCCTCATCACGCATCCGACGGCATTGACCGGCACTGGCATCGTAGTTGCCCCAATTGTAAATACTCCGAAAGATAATTGAACGCCGGAACCCGAATAGCTTCGAGCAGAGCATCTGGAATCAATTTTGACAAGGGTTATCCGAAATAAAAGAGTGGGCCGGAAAATAAAATTATGACATTACAGACAAAGGACACTTGACTTGTGATTGTTCACATAATATTAAGTATAGCTTTGATGTACTCACTTTATTCTGAGTGTATGAATGTTACATCAATTAAAAATTAAAATTGTGTGATCCCAAGCCACCCTCCTCCAACAAACACTTTCTTTCATAAATCAAATAATGATTTTTGGTCCTTTATTCGAAATTAGGTGGCGTAAAACAAAGGAAAAGAAACCTAGGACTTTTTCATGCGGAAATAGTTCCACACCACGCACATTGGCGGTGATTTAAGGCAGAAGCACTCTGAGGGGGGCAGGTCTGGCAGCGGGTCCGTTAAACACTCCGAATAGGAAGGATATTTGGTCCTGCGCTTTACACATCCAGAAGGCCGGTTTTCTGGGAAACAACCAAGAATGTTTGCTTCCTTGCATAAGGGTGACGTGACCCTGGGACAAGGGCTGGACGCCTTGTGATGGCACTGCCCTAGTCCCAGCTCCATGTTACTCCCGGGGGACATTTAGCCTTAACTTTGGTCCGGATGCGTCTCTCATATACGATCGGGCGACTCTTGCAGACGGCCTTGCGTTTGCGCTGCTTCAGTTCACACTCGCACCAGGTGCGCTGGTAAATACGTTTCAACTTGTCCGAGGGCTTGTAGAGCTTGACATCCCTGCGCGGGAAGGCTTTGGCACAAGGATCGCCGCACTTCGCCTGGGCATCGTAGAATGAAATCGGCACCTTGAACTCTATATCGGAGCGACACTTCCTGTCGCCGCGTCTATTTGCAGTCCAGCAATGGTCCTTTTCCGAGGCATTATCTGGGTTCCCAGACTTCCCAGCCTTCTGCACATCCTTCTTCGGAGCGGGCAACTTGCATCCGCCGTCACCACAAGAGGACAAGTTCCTACGCGACTCCATGCAACGAAGCTGCTGCCGCGTTGCTGCACCTTGGGCACGGAGTAGCGTCCTCCGCATTAGCCACATTCTGCTTTAACTTTAAAATCGAATCAACCAACGAACTCGAACCGGTCACGTTTTTAAACCAACTGAATTTTGTTTACCATAAAAAATTTTGAAAATAAAATTCTAAAAAATCCGAGAAATTTTCATGACGTCGACCAGTGAGGAGGAAACATATTATCCTACTGATTTCATTTCCAAGCTGCTGCTGTTGATGTTAGTTTCAGGGCCTGCTTCTGATTATTGTTGGTTTTTGTTATTATAATTTAGAACAATATATTGACTCGGCATTTCTTAATATTCCTCATACTTCTAGAATGTTTTATGCGTTGAAGTAAACATTGATGCAACTGCCTGCCTCTGCAAATTTTCTCTTGTTTTAGTTTGCCAATAAATACTTTCATTTAAAATTTAGATTTTATCATAAGCTAATTACATAGTAAATATTAAAATATATCATTAAGTTGATTTGTCGATTTGCAATTCATTCATTACGGTTGGTTGTTTTTCGTCAGATGCCTATGCATGTAGCAAAGCTAAACAGGCAAAAACAAGGCTCAGGGAAACCAACTTTATTTAGCCATCCAAAGTGCTAAATAATCCTTAAAAATTAATATTTATATAAAATGTAATGCCTGCAAACTGCTTAGTGAAACAAGAACAACATTTTGGGTTATTTTTATTTTTTGCAATTTTTTTGTATTGGTTTTTTGTTATGCGAAATGGACAACCGATGATGTATTAAGTTGGATCTCTTCGTTTTAGTTGTTTTGCTTTCTTGTTATACTACGAACTGGACAACCGATCTTCACTAATTAATCTAATTGGAACTCTTCGTTTGACAAGCGTTCGGCAACCACACCAGCCTCGTAGTGGCGCATCTTGCGCTTCTGCTGATCGGAGATGAACCTCGAGAAGAACTCGCCCGCCGGTATGGCAACCCTCTGGAGTCGCCTCTTGGCATCAAAGTTACGCCGAGACGTCGTACCGTGACTCTTTGCCACTGGTTTCTGATAGCGAGGTTTCGCTGTCTCCGCCTCATCCTCCAACTGCAGTTCGTCCTCCAACATACTGGATTCCCGCCATGTGGACTGGTACTCGCGCTCCCTCCATCGTCTGGGATTGTACATGGTATCGTCGAGGCGGTGGGTTGGCCCCTCCGACATCTCGCCCGGTGCTGGTTTGTGCTGGTTGAACCAAATCCGCCTGTAGTTTCGATTCTGAAGGTCATCACCCGGCCAATATCTTGTATCACGGAATCGAAACTCAGATATTCCACGCGTATCTATGCCACACCCTAGTTCAACGGCCAAAAGACGTTTCATTGCCAAAAACTTTTTCGAAAACATTTTGAAATGTTGGAATTGCCGAATTTGTTTGTTTTTTTGATTTTCTATTTTTTGTTGTTTTGTTTGGTTTTGTAACTTTTTTCCAAAAATAAATCTAAAATTGTTGAATATAAAACTGAACTGAGTTGTTGTCCTAACGAGCCGAACTTAAAAACTGAACTATACGGGCGTAACACTTTGACACGATGATTTTTGAGACAGTCAAGGATTACTTGATCTCAGAAAAAGAAAGGAAACATACTTCTGAAAGCCGAAATTTGTTAGCAATGATTTCATGGCCTGCAAGTTTGCAATTATAAGATCGAAGCAGAAAATAAGTTTTTTTGCATTTCTTAAACCAATATTTATAAATTTTTTTATATAACAACTTTTTCGAAAAATCAAGGTTTAAGAAAACGTATAACTCTTCCAAAAAAGTATATATTTTAACCCAATATAAAATTTGAAAAAATTGCCCAACATTTCTTTTCCATTTGAGATGGCAAGATGGACTTGGCTGTTCATGCTGATCAAGAATATACATATATGATTTATAGGGTCAGAAATGATTCTTACACATCGTTATAAGCTTGCAAATAAAATTATAATTCCTTAAAAAGCCAAAAAAAATTGTATTTTATATAAGATAAATCTAGCATACATGGCGTATACTTAACGTGATAACAATTAAATTAAGTATACGCTGTGTGGTCTTAGGTGAGAATAGCTTAAATATTTATGAAAATATTTTTAGTTTAAAATCTAGCTTAACAATTAAGTTATAAGATCGAAAAGATCATAATTATGCTTCAGTACTACATATATTTATACATTTTTTTACATACATATTTTTGCGACAAATCAAAAGTTAAAACATGCATAACTAAGCCAAAAAGGCTTTAATTTTAATTCGGAATATTGTGTTAGTTTTTCTTATATTGATAAGTCTGCATACTTAATTTAAAATTACAAAAACCTAAAATTTTAATACATTTTTGAAAATTTTAACGACGTAACCCTTTCTAAAATTAGAAACAAATATATAATAAATTTTTTTTTTCTGTCTTAGCTAGATCGATGCTGAACAAGATAATATAAAATTTATAGGGTACCCTGTGGGGGCATAAAAATATGCAGCTCTCCCACATTACGAGAAATACTTTTTTACTAAGTGGAGCATCTTTTTTTTACGCTCTTAATTAAAGAGAATAAATTCATATATAATATCCCTTTTCCCACACTGAATTAAACTTAGAAGCCTTAGATGTAATTTTGTCTGTACATTCCAGACACAAAAAGGAAGGTATAGCGATACTTGTGAAATAAATCCCCTTTAATCCCAATTAATTATTAGTCAGATTTGGGTTAATTTTATATTGTAATTGCTGGTATTCAATAACTTTTGCAACGTAGTTGAAAATAGGTACTCAAATTGACCTAAGCATCAGCTTAATTTCTTGGTTTTCGTTAAGGGCTGAAACGCATTTGAAAATATGTACTCCGATCAACGCTGTGATTAAAACACCTTAGCTACAGGTGCCACCAACGGATTAGTCTATGTATTTATATTAGCCAATATCTTGATAAAGGGGGCTTTAGTGTACGTCATCCTCTGATCAGTGTTTAGCAATTGTCGAAATCTCCGCAATCGCACTCTGTGGGTGGCTTGGGCACCGTGGGCTCTCGTCGGCACTCCGAGTAGCTCGGAGACGGCGCCGGCCTCTTGGAGCAGTTCTTCTTCCGGGAGGTCCGCTTGCAACTGGGCTGCGGCTTATCCTTGCCCTTTGACTTGCAGTTTGAAGTTGAAGTAGACTTGGAGGTGCCGGTCTTCGAGCGGACAACGAATGGAAGTTGCATTTTGAATCTCGGCACTAGAATTTTGAGAGGCCTGAACATTTTGTTCCGAATTTAGATGTGATGTGGGATAGTTGGACCAGCTGCCTAGCTCCTCTGAATGCTCCGTCGCCGCCGCCTATGCCTCACCGCACTTGAGCATTGCGGACTTGCCCCGGGCAATTCGTCGCCGGATTTCGGCCCACACCTCGCAGGCCATGGGTGTGGCCAGGCATCTGCACTCGGTGGGTGGTGCCACGGTGAGCTCTTCCTTCTTGCACTCGGAAAAGCTGGGATATGGCGCCCGACGCTTCGTGCACTTGGTAACGCGGCGCGTGAGGGCGCAGCTGGGCGGGAACCGCCCTGGCTTGCAGCAGGGCAGTGTCCAACGTGGGCAGCTCCCGGCCGCCTGCGGCTCCTTGCACTTCATGGGGTTAACCATGGGCACCTTGGGTCGGGCGGTGGCCGCCTGGCTCTTGCGCTTGCGACGGCAGGGCTTGGGTCGAGGATGCTTCTGATGGATGCACACCTTCTTCGGCTTGATCACCAGTCTGGGGCACTCGGTCCATGTGACCTGGTATGCGCGAGCCTGTTTGTCCGTGATGCGATAGTGGGCGATATCCAGACGGACCGGCACGTCGCACATTGGCTCATACTCGCAGCCGGGGATGTCCCACATCGATGTAAACTTTTTGGCCTTCGCTTTCTTCGCCTTGGACTCTTTCTTCTCCTCCTCCTTCTTGGGCTTCCTGCCTTTGACCATGTCGCAGATGTTACCCTTGAAGTGCGCAGGACCGCATGACTTAGATCCCTCCTTCGCAGTGGTTTGACACTCCTTCGGTGCACCGCAGTTGTCATCGGAGCCACTTGGATCGACGTTCTTGCTGTAGCTGCGCATCTGCTGGCGCAGCACACTGGAGATATTGAGTGCCCCTCCTCCACCAGGTCCGGGATGGCAGACGGGTTTCAAGTCCTGGGTCCTGGACCAGTTGGCCTTTAGCTGGCTGCAGGAATCCATCAAGGAATCCAAGCAGGGCTTTATGCCATTTTCCACGAACACACGATACTTTTGACGCAACAATCGCAGCATATTGGTTTATTTTTCCTATTATTCATCAAATTTTGGTTAACAATGCCGAAAATAAGCCTAAAGAAAAAAAAACCGAAACTGTGTGTGGAAAGGCCGAGGACTGAATGTACACTGAGTGTACCAGGCTACGTAAACAGGTTAGAATGGGATTTCCAGGCCTACTCTGTCCCAAGATCATTTTCCATCGAATCCCAAAAGCTTGTAATAAAGCAGGCCTTGGACTTAACTTCGTTGCCATGTGGTTGATGTGATAATGATTGAAGCTCAGTTTCATTTGGCTTCTCCTAAATCTCACATCGGCTCCGCGGAGCTGTTTATGTTTTCGGTTTCTCATTTATAGTTTGGAAAATTCAAAATCCATAAAAAAAATTGAAAGAAAACTTTACTTGGTTTCGGAATTCCTCTTCTAGCCAAATTTTTAGATATGTCTGCGATGTGGCGCAGCACTTTGACCGGGACGCGAAGCCACCTTTTGCCCCGGCTTTCGAGTGTCATTTCCGGACGGCTGTATGCCACCGATCACAATCCACCCCCCAAGTGCAGTGACTCGGCTGAAGGTGGCAAGTCATGTGGCAAATTGCAAGAGTGCGGAGATCTTCGGTACGAGAAAAAAGAGCCACCAAAGGGCGAGTTTCAGTTTCATCATTTGGTCAAGCAGCCACCAGAATGTTGCGAAGACCCCTGCCAAGAAAGGAGTCCGAAATTCGACGATTGCTACTATAAGATCTCCGACAAGGCCAAACGCGTATACCAGGTCACCTGGGTCGAGTGCCCGCCCATCCAGATCAAGCCCAAGAAGATCTGTTGCTTCAAGAACGCGAAGCATCCGCCCATTCAGCGTCGCAAGCGCAAGGACTTTGTGGCCGCCGCCGAGTGTCCCAAGGAGTGCACAAATGTGCCAGATGGGCCATGCCCCAAGATCAAAATGCCCGGCTGTAGGCCCGTGGGTACCACCTCTTGCTACATTGTTCGCCGCAAGACCGACTGCACCAAGGTGAAGACGCCATATCCGGCTTTCTCGGAGTGTTCTCGCGGTCGCATTCGGCCGCCGAAGCGCATCGAATGCAACTGCCTGGCCATTCCAAGCCTGTGTGAAATTCTTGCCGAGCAGCAGCGGCAAGAGGGTAATCCCGGCAACAAGCAATGTGGCGGCAGCAGGGGCTAGGAGCTACCTCAATCGTGTGTAGTTACTATAACAGTTGAAATTGGGTCGCTTTTCTACACTAGAGTGAGTGTATTGTTAGTTGGGATATTCCGAACCCGATTCAGTTAACACCTTCCTTTCATGGGTGAAATTCCAACTTTAAATAAACCGAAACTCATACCATATTTGGGAATGTGGTTATATTTTTAGGGATCTTGGGGAAAGGTCTTTTGAATTAAATGTATAATGGAATCAAAGTCCTTGCAATAAGATGCCTAACGCCATATGCTTAAATTGTGCCTAGTGTTCGTTCAGATTGATAACAGGGTTATCTCTGGTTTTTCAAGAAAATTCCAAGAGATTTCCTAGGGCACCCCTGAAAAATAGACTGCAAATAAATGGAGTTACTCATATTCTTATAAAGGACTTTACCCAAGTCGATTTCTTTTGCTGAAATCCGGCCACACTGCCACACTGGTTAGCCATGTAAATTGAAAACATTTGCCCAACTGCGGATGGGTATGCAAAGTGTCCCGTGAGGGGAACCACTGCGTGCCATATTAAAGTCGCCTTTATAGCAAATTACCAATTCAGATATATACGGGTACACACAAATCAGTTATACCCGGCATCTATCAGCATATTCTCCCGGCTGTGTTCGCATTTTGTTGTTCCTCTTTTGAATGCATGCAGGCCGTCACATTTATTCGAGTTCGAGTTTGATGTACGATCCGAAATGCATGTGCATAATCAAAAGGGGAGCGGTGGTTGCTCCATCTCCCGAAGACAATCGAATCCGGAGAAGAAGAACCAGATGAAGCAGGCTTCCCCAGCTGCGGAGACATAATTGATGGATGGGCCAGTCGACGACAGAAATGTTCTGGCAGAAACGCGGTCCTATACATATGTGTGCGCCTACCTTTGCCTAAATAATGATGTCGCATTATTTATGCTGCTGCTGATTTGCATAGGCAAGCGCAGAACTTTGGGATCGAAGGATTGGGTAGATTGTGGGATATAGCGAGGCCCCAGCTCCGGGCAATGTGTGCGCTTTCTTTAATAAATGTTTAATTTATAATTGATTTCCTTACCACGACCTCCGCCTTGGCTGGCAAGACCTCGGGAAAGTTTCTGAACCGCAAAAGGATTTGCCCGCGCACGAAAACACTTAATTAATTCGCATAGACAGACCGTCGGACGGATGTGGCAGGGCAGGATTCAGCTTGGCCCACCCATCTGGTCAGGCACACCACACACACCCCACACACACCATCACTACATACACACACATGAAGAAATAATTAGAAATTAGAATAGAGAATGGAGAGGCCAAGCTGCCCGCCCACACACTGAGTTCAGCTGAGTTGCACCGCCCACAAAAGCCCCCGGAATCCCCAACCTCGAGTCCGCACGCCCCTTAACCCTGTCGCCACCCCTCCTCAAAGAAGCATATTTAAAATGTAGCCAAGTTTACGTCGACACGAGTATGATTTAAACTATATACTTGGACCCTTTTAGCAGACCAAAAGCCCAAGACAGCAGCAACCCGAATCGAAAATGTTGCTGTCCGCTGTAGCCCAAGCAGTTTCAATTTACTTATTATGCCTAGAGATGGGGGAAATCAGGAGGAACTATCAAAGCTTGGTTATAAATATATTAAGAAGTAAATTTAAGGATATATTTTAGTATTACAATTAACTCTGCATAAGCATATATCCACTCTCTTTGTTTATACCTTTTCAAGATAGAATTATTTCTTAACTCTTCAGCAAAGCTAAACCTTTAATCCATCTTAGAAACCCCTTTCAGCCGCTTAAAATTACCATTATCGATATCGGCGATATAGCTGCCATCGCTAAGAACAGAAAGGCAGGATGGTCTAAGGACGAGACTGAAACAGGACAAGAGGAGGGCTTAATTTGCTGCTAATATCCGTTTACGTCTTTAGTTGCAAGAAAATTACAATATTTCGTGTGAGATAGTTGGCCCGCACCCACACTCACGCTATAGATACTTTTGTATCTAATTTAAATTTCCCAAATTCGGTTTCGCTTGGAACGAAAAAAAGAAAAACGCCAAGCTGGAAAATGAGAGCCTGGGCCTGGGCTAATTTCCCATAGACTTTGTTCCGCCGCGCAAGGGTTGGAACTGAGAAACTCTCGACGACTCTGCTCGGATTAAAGCCCGGCAAGTGGACACAGACATGGGCTCCGGCTGCTGCTTAGCCAAATTATATTATGACTTGTTTAAAATTCAAATTTGAAAACACTAAAATCATGTTTTCGATGTCTGGCCACCCCCGACTCTAAGGATAGTTTTCGGCAAGGGTTTAAGTAGCGCACGCGGCCAGTGCAAATACTGTGGGGATGGAAGTGGGTCCTGTTCCTGGGTGTCCCTGCTAAGGATTTGCCACCGCCTTCAGCCGGCAACTTTTGCTGTCCTGTCTGTCCTCGGCCTCGGCCCCGATCCTAACTCAAGGCAATGTCCTTTGCCGACTACATATACGAGTGTCCCTGTCTGCGGGTCTTGGTGTGTGGTGGGTGTTAGTCTCTCTCTCTCTCCCTCTGTGGGTGTGTGTGTGTGTTGCCAAAACATAGTTTCTAGTTGCCACATAAATTTTGCATGCTCTGTGTGTTGTTGTGTTTGTGTGTGTGTGTGTGTGTGTGTGTGTGTGTGTGTGTGTGTCTTACGGCTTGGCCAACGAAAATTTGCTTTTAAACAATTTTAATGATTTCATTAGTCGTACAAGGAGCAATTTAATGAGGACGATTTCGGGGGGAGTCGAAATTGATTTTCAGAAGAGTTGATAGAGCATCGAATTGGGTTGATTTCTGGGGATTTTAAAGGAATACTTATTTACTTAATTAAAGTCTGTTTTATTGTTGAGAAACTTAATTAAATTTAAATTTATTTTTGGAATATGTTTTTACATGGTTTTCAGATTAAAATCTTCACAAAGGATAACACATATCTACCTTATCAAACTTATTATCCTTTTGCCTTAATTTAATATAAACTATTTATTTAAGAGAGTTGTTACTTTTTATTTACATCTCTAAATCTGTGTTTCGTATATAATTATAATGACAACTTTTTCGAAGTATATTAACTAAATTCCCTGGCAGTATTTACAATTAAACATATGCTATTAACATTTTAATTTCACTCTAGTATATAATAGTTTATATTCCCGATTTTGGGCTTTATTTTACAGCAGTTTTTTGTCTGAGAGGAAAACTATAAAATGTTTCCATTATAATGTAATTAAACTTTTATTTTTGTCATTTGTGTGCCTGGACTTGTCTTAGAACTTTATCCCAGCCAGAACTCTAAGCTTTAGATGCGACGCCATTTTGTCTTGTCCTTAGACACACACACACACACTAGCACTCATATAGCTCAGGACATAATTAGATTGCATAATGTAAGTGTTGCCCGTTGCCCCCCAGTCCAGCCTTGTGTACTCCAAGTCGGAGTCCTGGCAATTTCAATAAAATTTGCGTTTGGCCAAGGAATGGGGTGGCAGAGGAAGTGGCTGGCTTAGCCTGAAAAGCAGTCAAATGTCTCAGACACAAGCCACACACACACACACATACACACACACGCACACATAGACCTCTCACACTCCTTGATGGCATCCAGGGCCTTAACCCTTTGTGGTTGTGAGTGTGCATGTGTGAGCTCTGGCCAAGGCAATGGCCTTTCAAAATTTTCGAATTTACGTAAATTTAACTTTCTTGAAATACACTTAACTGTAAAATTAATTATAAAAGGCAATTGTATGTGTGTGTGTGTGTGTGTGTGTGGTAGCCATATGTGGATGTGTGTGAGAATGTGAGGGTGTAATTTCAGGGGGCTTATGGTGATGTACACAGAAAGAATCTTGGGAAAGATGCATAAAGGATATCGAGATATCAGGGAATATATGGTTGAAGATAAGTGTTAGAAGTGTTTCTTTAGAATTTGATATTATTTGTGTACTGGATATATTTATGTAAACTACAATTTAATATTTGAAAACAATTACTAAAGGAAAACTATTATCTTTTATAAAAAAAATATTATATTTAAGGGGTTTATATTATGACAAGACTAGTATTTGCTATACAAGAAGGTTTAGAAATGCCTTTAACCCCCTAGAAACATATTCTAAATTTTCATGATGACCCCAAAATTTGTAAAATTAATTTTATCTGTCCAATATATCAACGTATCCTTTATTTCTCCCGGTGTACACTTAAGTTTCTCTTAGTCTTTGGCCGAAAAGGTGTTGGCATGGAATTTGCATAACCAACAAAACGTCAATTTCTTCAGAGAGCGAGTGAGAGAGAGCAGTTTGCATATGTGTGTGTGTGTGGGAGCATGTACAGTTGCGCCCATCGACATTTGCATACTTTCACACACACACGCACACACACACACAGAGTTAAGTTTGGTCCTTGTGTGCGAAAACACACTAATTAAATGTTGAAGGCAGTTTATATTGAGATGCCGCCCCACTTGCATGGCCAGCGGGCAGACAGAGGCCGAAACCAGGTGAGAGGGTGTATGTGTATATGTATTTTTGTGTGTGTGTGTGTGTGTCAGGATGGAAGGAGGGTGCATTATATAACCCCAAACCAACACCTGCATGTGTGCGAGCGTGTGTCGTAAGAAAATCTATAGCCTACGGTGCTCAAGCCCGAACCGCAAATTCAAATGTCTTCATTTTGCACATCAAACCAACTGCAGCCGCAGGAGCAGCAGCAGCAGCAGCAGCAATCCTGGCCCCTCACACACACACACACACAGATAGACAGGACGAAGGAGCAACGCTTTACATATGTATGTTTGCTAAGGATTTCTAATTACATTCGGCATCGTCCAAGCAGGGGGGAAGCACAAGTGGGGGAGCCTTATGTAAAATATATATTTCACTGCCCTTAAATTATAATGGTTCATGTAAATCGAAGGGGTTAAAAGGATATAACATCTCAAAGACTGACCATGGAGAAAGGGATTTCTCTTTAATTTGTAAATATAAATTGATTTAATTTGAATTTATATTATAAAACTAAAAGAATCTACACATTCGCACTGCGGACTAATTACACATTAAGCCAGGCAATTATCCTTCTGACAGTTTGGCTAATGTCATGACTTGGGCCGTGTAGGCTCTGCTTTCTGCTTGCCACCTGCCCCGGTT